CCTCTCATGAAACGTTTCGTGGAATGTTCTCCCCTTAGTTAAACAATTTATCCTTACAAAAGGGTTAAGTGTTGCAATGATAAAGGATATTTTTGTCGCACGGTTAAGTAGCAACTGAATAACCAACTAACGAAAAGACGAATTTAGCTCGGCACAAGATCGTAGGATGCAACGGTAAAGAGCAACAGAGGACACCGTGACTGTAATGTTAGCTTACATCAAATCGCCTAAGTAGGCTCTCGATGCGAATCGACCGGTGTGCAAATATTTGCCTGACGCGCCAGGACCGCAGCTCACACACACAGGCGGCCCGCACCGTTGGGAGTACCTTCAACATAATCCGAATAAAGCTTGCCGCAGGGTATCCAGTTTACAGGTAGCAACATAATGTCAGCTGTCATCAGCAACACAACCTTTTCTGGATACGGAACCGGCGGTACAGCCTATACGATTGGCAGTCAGTCAAAGCCTGTCATCGTATAAGATCGAACGGCCAGGGCCGTGTGGTCAGGCGATATCGATGTATGTTTTTGAGGTTATAGTCCGGGATTTGCATCCCTAAGCACGTGGAAACCTATTACGGGAGACTGGGCAAGATGGGGTAACGTCCCGAATTAGCCAAACTGTCCTCGATTGATGTGTTGGAAATGCAATGGTTGGTTAACAAAGTAATAAAATACCTTCCGGGATTATCGTGAAGGATGATCACATGCTTCACATGTACCCTGTGCAGGAAACTGCGCGCAATCCGGTAACGAACGACGTGGAAACGTAATAGTACACGGTGACATATCTTATTTGCAAAATCAGTGACTGAATAAGATGTAACTACGTCGTCCAACGGCACGCTATAACATGTTAAACTTTCGAGCCTACAACGTCCATCATGGTACGATAGCATGTTTCTTCGCCATACTGCATTACTGTAAGCCTAAGAGTTACATATATGCTTTTACTGTCATTTTCGACAAACAGGTTTTGTTGTTGGCTTGCAGGGACATAGACATCCTGGCAACAAAGCCCTCACGTGCAGTTGTCTAGTTTCTAACTATTCCAATAAAATTTTTACACTTTCAACGAGGTTTACACCAATAAATGTACGCACTTTATCGCCGGGGCAAACATTTAGCTTGCTCAGAAATTAACTGAGTTGAAGGTCAGGTAACGGTGAGCAACATACATTTCTAAATCAAAGCATCATAGGACATGTTTTTCATAGGTTTGGAAGTTCTATGCCGTCGGCCTTCAAATGCCGGCTCCAGCGGTTGCTGTCTCCATTGTGGTTGCTCCCCGTCCTTGCAGCTGGGCACAAAACTATACATTCGCATGGATTATAACCAAGAGAATGCCAGCCGTGGAATTTAACCACTAGGTAAGCTTTGCTCGCGCTCACGCTCGCATTATGGCTCGGATTATGGCCGATGCAGGGACAACAGTTATGAGTACGTTTGCTGCCAAATTTTGATTATTATGCACGCTAGGTCCCAGATTTAACCTTGGACCGAAGGGCTTGTGGAGGAGTACGGAGTCATACTCTTGGCATTGCCTTGAAGCTAGGCCTTTGGTTCCTTGCCGTTTGCACCAGCCGACGGCACCTATTGACCTTTGTTATCTATCATTCCTGCACCTGTTCTCTGGCCGCGTATTATCGGGACGCGTGTCGGCTCCCTTACCCGCGGCTTCCATCGCCCTACAGCCACCCAAAGCTTTGAACTTAAATTCCCAACCTCCCCGGATACGTCCGCTCAGGGATGGCGGATGGGGCGCCGCATCGCGTCGCGGGCACTCCCTGCTCCACTAGTGGCACTATCTGCGCTCAAACAAGCATCACTAGCTGCGGCATCTACGCCCTGCCGACGACAACGCGGTCGGCGTTGGGCTGCAGACTCAACAGCCTCTGAAAAGCAACCGCAAAGTCGCTCGAGGTCGCTCGAGGTCGGGGTGGGGGAGGGGACGGCGCGAAAACTTACGGAAGCGGAAGCGGCAGTAGCAGCACCACCAGCGATTCGGCAGCAGCGGCAGCATCAGAGGGAAACAGCAGAACCCCGAGGTCGCTGCTGGGGCTGTGAGCAAGTCGACTGACCGGCGACTGGACAGAAGCGCCAGTAGCGGAGCGTTTCACTTTGGGAAGAGTCCTCCATCATCATTAACATCATTATCATTATCGCATTACCATCTCCAGTGACGGCATCAGCAGCAGCTGCAGCCGTAACAGCAGCAATACCTGGCTGCGGCAGCGCGCACTGACGTCAGCGAGAACTTCCGAAGCCGTTGCAACGGCAGCAGTAGCGGTAGCGGGAGTAGCTGCAGCAGTAGCGGCCTCGTGGTGGCAGCGGTGGCGGCATCACGTCAACCTTAAGAGGTGGCGGTGAGGCCGCACGTGCGGTGGCAGATCAACCCCTGCTGTGCTGCTGGTGCTGGTGCTCGTCCATCCACCCGCCGGAGGGCAAATATTGGGACTCCACTTAGCCAACTACCTAACCAACGAACTAACCACTAACCAGCGAACTTCGCCGGTGAAGGAACTACATAATCACCATTCCAACCCCAAGGGAATCGCCTTATGGAGGTACGTGTATGTATGCATGTATGTATGCGTGTATGTATGTATGCATGTATGCGTGGCATGTGCGTGTGTAGTTCAGTGTTTTTTTTTCAGTTTTGCCCGTCAATTTTCCAGTCCGAACGGAGGAATAGGTTTATACTTGCCGGTATAAAAGTATATTCCTAATTTGTAAGGCGCTGGGGGGGCTCCGTCCCCTTCAGACCCCCCTCCCCGATGAGTTACAGTTTAGTTCGTACAAACGCCGGGTTTGGGGAATGTCGCAACACGCACACACCACAACCTCTCCAGAGAAGTGTCTCTTACACGCCAAGAAGCGGCGCGCACTTAGACGCTTTGACAGGAAGCCCGATTGCACGGGCGACTGCTGTTGCAGAGCCCAAGCAAACACAGACCAGTTAACCCCTACTCAGGCACTGATCGAATAGAGTTCATTCACCGTCGTTCGTTTTGCATCACGTTGAAAGATAACACTACACGACGCGCCGGCGCTCTGCCCCTTCACGACCGGCTGCGTCTGCGGTCGGGGCGTCTTTGTGCCGCGTAATGTGGGGTTACGAGTCTTAGCTGCAGCGCCGGGGTCGCTGCTGCCATCGACCTCGACGCCCGTGTTTCCTGGCCCATCGCGATTGTCTCCATATGACGAACGTTGATGTTTGGCCTGCTCGCTGTTGACAACTGGAGTGGCGTCATTGTCGTCGGCTGGCTGCAGCATGGCGTCCACATTGCCTACGACTTGTATAACGTCATTCATCAACGTCGCTAATGGCTTCGGTGAAGTTTGATTTCTGCTTTAATCGGCTGCCATGCTTTGGAAGCATCGGGTCCGAATATTTTGCAGCGTTTGGTCCGGTCAAAAACAGTCCGATTCCTCGTTGACTTTCGGGCGTGAGCTTCCTAACAGTATCCATGGCATTAGAGTACTATGATATGGGTAACATGTATGTCTCCTGTAAGATTCTAGCGGCTTTGGCATGGACAGTCCATTTTCGGCTGGAGGAATGAACTTGTACGGTCAGAACATGATCTATTCCTAATTCTGAGGACCACGAACAATTTTTTACTCCGAATTGGGAATATTTTCCGCAATAAAACGCTTTGGTGTAGCTGTAGGGGGGCCTTACCTTCAACAGTGGCCACTAATACCCACTGGCAGTCCCCTGCCGCCTCTCCCGAATTTCCCCCAAAGCAACCTCATCCTTCTCATCACTCATGAGCTTATGACTTTTGCGACCCAGTAACATCTATTGAGCTTATCACTCACTGGATCTACGTCGCCATCAGTTGCAATCCTGATCGGCTGACAATAAACTGTTACCGGGGCTAGTAGCAGCAAGTGAACAAGAACTCCTTTAATCAGAATGCTACTTGTACACGATGTTTGTATTGCGAATAGATCTCTGTCGATGAATATAAATAAGTAGCAGCCACCTGCAAGCTGCATGTGCTGCTGGGGGCGACGATGTCACATATGCAAGCAGATTACAAAGCAAGTAGCTCGAGAACGTGTATGTTTGTGTGTATGTATGTGTCTAGCCTTTTTTATGGTAACCCCGGGGTGGTCGGTGCTGCCCATGAACATGTGGGGTGTGTGTGGCATGATGATTGATGATGATGATGAGGGGGTGCATGCAGACATGCAGTAATAGCGGCAGTACTAAAAAAATATCTTTACGATGTATCTGTACGAAGCAGTAGTATCAGCTCGTACACCGGACCCGCGCAGGTAGCGCCACTAATCAAATATTTGATAATGATCCCCTTAGGAGTCCGTGATAATATTCCCAAACCAACCGACCGCCAGTGTGACCTTTTACTGGCCATCAGCATCCGTCATCATCACCATCCCACTCGCATCCCCTTCTCCACCGTACACCTTCCAACGATCCGACGCGTCACCAAAACCCTAAACCCCACTTTCTCCCGCAAATCACACGACACGCTAGATCACGTCACGTTACCGACTCTTTCCATTTTCGTCTCTTTCCCCCCCCCCCCCGGTCCCCCGTACCCCCCTTTCCCCTTGGGCCCTTTCCAATGCTCTCCAACCCTTCCACCACTCTCGGCACCGTCTCGCCATGGCGCCGCCGTACATGCCGTACATGTACTTATATTTCGACCGGCTGCTGCCTGCTGCCCGTATGTGCCTGGATCGGACTGTTTCCTACGATATTGTGCCGGCTGGGATTGGATTCAAACGGTTCTCCTGACCGGCTCCGGAACCACGTGCACAGAACTACGAGTACATCGGTGCGTGAGGAGTGTGAAAGAAGTGTTGGAGATTATAAGGGTAGTCGTTTAAATTGCGTGGGGATAGTGTTGTTCGCCCCCCCCCTTCTCCTCACTCCCCTTAAATGCTGCTCTCGCCCTCCTCGCCCGCCCTTTCCTTGTCTTTGCATGTATTTCCCTCTCCCCCTCCCCCCTTCCCCTCCCAACAAAAACAGCCGATCTGGGGAGCGGTAGCTACGGTTTCGTGTGGCAGTGTCTGCAGCGCAGCAGCGGCCGGATCGTGGCGGTCAAGGGCTTCAAACTGGCGCACACGGACAAGAAGGTACGGCAAGTACGACGGGGCCGGGGAATCTGAATCTGATTTGGAAGGGGGAGAAAGGTACGGCAATGGGACTTTTGAGCGACAAGGGAAATGGGGCGGGCTGTTGGCGGGGGGGAGCTTTGTGAATATGAGGTTTCCGTTAGGCAGAGGAATCCATTTTTAGCGGTTTAAGGGTTTCCCGCGGACATCTCCTTTTCTCCTAGGGGTTCCAAATACAAGCCCGATGCATTGAGCTACGACACTGTCCACCCCAACACCCGTACGACACCCCGCACACGCAGTTTCTGGACCAAGCCATTCGAGAAGTACGGATGCTAAAAGCGTCCTGCGACCACCCCAATGTCGTACAACTGCTGGAGGCATTCAGGTAAGGCCAAGGGCGGTCTTCGTCTCCTTACAGGGCGGCGGGTTGGAGGCGTGGTGGCGACCACCACCACCACCACCAACACCAACAACAACAACAACAACAACAACAACAACAACAACAATAACAACAGACTGTATAACGCAAAAGAAAGCTCATTAAGTTTCCATTCTGTTGTCGAGCTTTCTTTGCGGCCGCCACGATCACCATCACCCTCCCCCCCTCCAAACCCCCCACATCCACCTCCACCTCCACTTCCGCCCTCTCACATTACCGGCTGTCTATACAGGAGCAGCAGCGGTCGCGTGTACATGGTGTTTGAGTTTGTGGAGCGCTGTTTGTCCGCGGACCTCCACAAGCGCTTCACGTGTGGGCTGCCGGCGACCCAAACCCGGCTGGTTCTGTGGCAACTTCTATGTGCAGTGGCGCACCTGCACTCGAAAAAGGTATAAGACACCCCTCCTCTTCCTCCTCTTCCTCCTCTTCCTCCTCTTCCTCCTCTTCCTCCTCTTCCTCCTCTTCCTCCTCTTCCTCCTCTTCCTCCTCTTCCTCCTCTTCCTCCTCTTCCTCCTCTTCCTCCTCTTCCTCCTCTTCCTCCTCTTCCTCCTCTTCCTCCTCTTCCTCCTCTTCCTCCTCTTCCTCCTCTTCCTCCTCTTCCTCCTCTTCCTCCTCTTCCTCCTCTTCCTCCTCTTCCTCCTCTTCCTCCTCTTCCTCCTCTTCCTCCTCTTCCTCCTCTTCCTCCTCTTCCTCCTCTTCCTCCTCTTCCTCCTCAAGGCGTAGTTCACTTCAGTTCAGGATAACTTTCATTATAGCAATCTGAAATTTTTGGAATATATCACGTAGATGCCACGTATCAATATTGGGTTTCATGGCATGTCGGAGTACGACTCGCGCTTGGCCACGTGCTTTCATTTTTCCCGCCAAAAATGCGTTTCTTCCCGCGATATCTTTTGGAAGGCATTCATTCAACCAGTTGATTTTCCTGTTTTGTAATTTGCTGATAATTTAACCCAATGATAAGTTAGTACATAGTTGTATTTCTTAATTGATCATTAATCGTGGACCATTTAAGTTCCTGTAGCTACCCAATAAGATAAATTAAAACCCTAAAGATAATAAAAGTGTACATTTCTATGAACCTAATAGTGTCTGGGCAATTTCCAAACCGGGTCAAATTTAAATTGGTTAATTATATAATCTTACAGTAACTGCTCGTTCTAACCTGCACTCCAAATAAAGCGGAAAGCAATATGTAAAATAATAATACTTTTGTTGTCCATGTAATTCTATAGTTATATAACATAAGTCAATTAAAGATTGATACCATTTTATTAAAGTACAAAATTTATTTTATAAAACTGCTCCTTGAAAGTATAATTTATTTTAAATTCATCCTTCTATTTGAGGAAAATGCCTATCATAAGATGACAAAAAAGGTGTTTTCCTTGTAGTTAATACCTGCATGACCATGTCCTTGCTTAACCGGTTTTCGATCGTTTTTTGACAATGAACCTATAAATTTGAATTCCTGGGGCATAAAAATCATGCCTACTTTAGGGCCATTAATTAATTTAGCTCCAATAGGTCCTAAAACACAACCCAAGGCGTCATGCCTGTAATTTCCTAGCCAGGCTGGGTTAACCATACCATATCTAAGGGTGCATTTCCAGTGCGGATTAAGGCCAGGGATTAGGGCACGGAAGTCCTTGGTACGAGCCAACAACTTAGCCGTTTGAGCAAGTATCGATGGAGGACAGAGGCTTAATCCCTGGCCTTAGTCCGCACTGGAAATACACCCTAAAGTGTTAAAAGTATTCTAATGGATAACAATCCTCTTTACCAATCATAAAAATCACCCTTTAAACATCCCACTCGCCACCCTTTAATAAAGACTCCTTTTCGCGGTTGACTCGTCAGCCCCTCATCGCGCGAGCGTCGTCATCATCAACAGTTACCTATTTTAACTGCCGAAATGGACGAGAGCCAACCGCCTAGTTGCAATCCCGCCTGTCTCTCCCCCGGGCTTGATGCAACACCCAGTTATTTCCCTGCATACCCGCACAACTACACATACACACATACACACATACACATGTATACACACACACCCGGCGGGCCCCCCCCTCGCCGCCAGATAATCCACCGGGATATCAAACCGGGCAATTTGCTGATGACTGCGGACGGAGTGCTGAAGCTGTGTGACTTTGGGTTCGCCAGGACAACGAGAGGGGAGCCGTACCAGGTCAGTAAGTCGTACGCTGAGTATACCGTACACTGATGATGCCATACGTTGGATTGCCGAATGTGTGCGGAATAGTAAAGATGCAGAAAAGATAGAGGGCCTTATCCTCTCGTCCCGGATGCAATGGACATGGTTTGCGTGTTGACCTCTTTTCCCTCCTTCCCCGCGACTCCTTGCCAGTCATCACACCGGTCATTTGCATCGTTGTTTCCCCCGGGGGTTGTCCGTAAAGGGAATGACAATCCTTTTCTTGATGATGATGATAATGATGATGATGATGGTGATGGTGATGGTGATGGTGATGGTAATCATCATCAGTGGGGGGGAATTTGAAGATCCCCGAGGGTGAATCCGCCTCTTGCACTGGACCCGGGTCCAGGATTGTGTTTTGAACCCCTCCCGGGGCTTGGGGGTTGGGGTTTTAGGGTTTTTTGGGGGCGGAAAAGGGGACATCCTGAGAGGCTATGTCACACCAACATCTCACCGAAACAAACATAAAGCATTAAGTTTTAGGGGTTTTAGGGTTTTAGTTGCAAGCTCTCCCGCATCGCCGTTAAGCCACCTTATACCACGCTAAAACCCTAAAACCCGAAACGCATTCAAACGCTTTGCAGCCGGACCGGTTTTCGTCGTACGTGGTGACTAGGTGGTATCGATCTCCCGGTGAGTGAGCGGGAGCAAGTTAGGGTTGGGGAGTGTTGTGGGGGGAGGGGGGGAAGGAAGGGAAGGGGGTAAAGGGTAAAGGGGGGAGGGCGAGGGTGGGGTGGGGTTTGGGATTTTATTTCCACCAATGTGCTGATTCGTACTTTTATGTTTTTCATATGCCACACTGACCCACGGGTGATCTGTTCCATCCGTACGGACGCGGGCTTAGGGCTTGCTCTTTTTTTACGGGCTTTGTCATCCTTTCACTCCCTTCCCGGACAGAGATGCTGGTTTCGGATCTGTACAGCGCCGCATCTGATGTGAGTGTCCTGTTGCGTGTACGAGTTCATAAAAATGTACGACAGGCAAAGAAACAAGAAGCGGTTTCTAGGGCTGGTTTCAAAAGCCGAGATGTGTATGAATGTATAATGTTACAGGGTGGTATAGCTTCACCAGCGGCCCCCTTTCCCTTGGAGGCAGTTCCCTGCTCTCCCCTGCGAGAGGGGCACCCTAATCCATTCACCCCATCCGACTTCAGAGTGTATTCGTCGGGTTCGGCAACTCACCACCAGCATCCAACCAATTCTAGCGGATCAACGGCGCCTCAACTTAGTTCCTGGTCAGCTCACAAGTTGATATAATCACGTCCTATACCGTCCACAAGATGGGGGGCCACTTCCCAATTCAGCACATCTCACCCACTGAGGGGTCGGCAGCTGGAATAGAACCCGGAACCTTCGGGAGCAGAAGTCAGGCCTTAACCTCTGCCAGCCACTAGCCTGAATGTATGTATATGTGTATGCATTGTGGTCCTCCTAAGCGAGTTCTTTATTGTCGTCCCCTATTTGGCATTTGCTAGTCTGTACCGTTTATAACTTCCAACTGCCAACTCCTCTCTTTTCTCAACAGATTTGGTCGTTGGGCTGTACTTTCGCGGAAATTGCTACCGGTCGGCCGCTGTTCCCGGGTGAGTGGTAGCAGTAGCAGCAGTAATAGCAGTACCAGTAATGATAACAGTGGCAGTAATGGTAACAGTAGCAGCAGTGGCTGCAGTAGCAGCAGTGGCAGCAGTAGCAGCAGTGGCTGCAGTAGCAGCAGTGGCTGCAGTAGCAGCAGTGGCTGCAGTAGCAGCAGTGGCTGCAGTAGCAGCAGTGGCTGCAGTAGCAGCAGTGGCTGCAGTAGCAGCAGTGGCTGCAGTAGCAGCAGTGGCTGCAGTAGCAGCAGTGGCTGCAGTAGCAGCAGTGGCTGCAGTAGCAGCAGTGGCTGCAGTAGCAGCAGTGGCTGCAGTAGCAGCAGTGGCTACATGTAGCAGCAGTGGTTACATGTAGCAGCAGTGGTTACATGTAGCAGCAGTGGTAGCAGTAGCAGCAGTGGTAGTGGTATGCCCCTTCAGACGAATGCTGTTCCTCCTGAAAAGTCTCCCTTCGGCCCGCCTGACCTGACCTGACCTGACCTGACCTGACCTGACCTGACGCACACATCCATGTATACTGCATCCAGAGATGTGCTGCTCTTCTGTTCTAGGCCCTGCTCTCCCCTGCTCTCCCCCAGGCACACACACACATATACACACACGCACACACGCACACGCACACGCACACGCACACGCACACGTACACACACGCGTGCATCTCTCCCCCATCTCCCCACCCCCTCTACACACCGCCAACCAATACCTCCCCAACACCCCTTCAGGAACCTCCTCCCTGGATCAGTTGTGGCGAATCATGAGGTGTCTTGGGCCCCTCCCGTATAGTCAGGCGGAGAGGTTCGCGGCGGCGGCCACCGCCGCCGGGCTACCGGAACCGCCGCCGCCGCCGCCGCGCGGCAAGTCGCTGTGGCAGCGCCTGCCAGAGTTAGACGCGCGCTTGCTGGACGTGGTGCAGGTATGTCTGTCTGTGTACATGCCTGTACGTTAAGTCTTGTTCTGCGTGCATGTGTGTATGTGTGTATGTATGTCTGCAGGCTTTTGTAGGTGTCGTAATGGTTTTTGAAACACGAGAGGCACGTGACGGCCTCTAGTGACGGCCGGGGGTTGGGTTGATGATCCAACAACAGAATAACAATGTACCGCAAGCAGACTCCGAGGAGGTTAGCGACGTGGTGGAACTTCCCAAGTATTATGTATGTACGTCTGTACGGCTGTATGTCGTATGTGTTGGAAAAGTGTACGGGCTTGTGCCTCAAAAACAACTGTTGTTTGCGAGTAGCTACGTTTCCTTTTAATCAATCATATTGATTTCGTCGCGTTCGTCTTCTTCCATTTTGGCGCTCAGGCGTGTCTGCGGCTAGATCCCCGGCAGCGGCCGACGGCGGCGCAGCTGTTGCAGATGCCGTACTTTTTGGAGGTACCAAAGCTTATCGCCGGCACGCCTTTGGACAAATTGTACAGCGAGCACGCCACGCCCAGTTACCGCTGCCGTACTACTTCGGGACGGACTGTTAGACCGCAAGAGCAGCCGCAGCAGCAGCCGGGGGGACCCACGGCTCCGCCGCCGCCGCCGCAGCAGCAGCCGATGCCGCCGGCATCTCGTGGCGTTGCCGTGAAGGTGATGAGCTCAGATGAGCTTGTACAGGAGGCGATGATCAGCAAGGATCGAGGGATTATGGCCATCGGCGGCGACGGCAGTGACGGCCGTAGCTCCCGACGGGCGGCTTCCGTACTGCTGTCCGCCGTGGCGGCGTCGCTACTTGGGGAGCCCCCCGCACCCCCTGGCGGCAACGGCAGCATCCAGTTGATGCCGCTGCTGTCGGTACCGTCGATGCCAACGCCGGCTGCGCCATCGCTCGACAACGCCGTTGGGCAGCTGCCGCCGGCAGTGCCGCCGCCGCCGCCGCCGCCAGCGGTAGCGGTAGCGGCAGCGGCGCCGACGCCTCGTCCTGGCGGTGCAGCGACGTCACTGCCCGCCCCGTCAGGTTCTTTCCGGACGGCCCCCACTGCGAGCGTAAGCAGCATGCAAACGCAATCACCTTCGCCGCCGACGGCGCCGCCGTCGTCGCAGACGCCGCTGCCGCCGACGACGACGACGGCGACGACGGGGTCCAGCAACACGCGCAGCGGCACAAGCCCGCTAACGTTGCCGCCACTGACGCAACAAACAAGTCGCAACCGTCTCAGACCTCTTTCCAGGACACCGTCGGCGGCGCTGCTGACGGCGGCGGCGGCAGCGACGGCGACTGCGGCTGGCGTGGCTGGACGTCCGCCGGTACAGGCGACACAGGAAAAGCCTGGTACGCCGGACTTTGAGCGCGGGCACGTGCACACACAGGCAGATGCCGCCATGCGCGGGGGAGAGGGACCAGGGTGTCGATCGGCAGCGGTGGACATGGAAGCGGGCGTCGCGGTGCTGGTGCGCGGCAGGTCAAGCACTTGTGACGGCGGGACGGACGGATCCCTAGGTCAACCTGGAGCGGCGAAACGCCTGCAGCTCGCGGCCGGCGGCGGTGGCAAGGACGGTACAATGTCCGTGCCTGGCGGCGACCCTGCCGCCCGCGGCGGCGCTGCCGACGCTGCTGCTGTTGCTGCGGTGGCGGCGGCAGCGGCCGTCGGTGACAGAGCACCGTCAAAGACTGAGCTGATCAGCCCGCAGCGGGACGGCGCCGCCAGCGTGGACGTCCTGCTGTCCGGGGACCCGGCGATCGACCCACGGGCCGGTTTTGGCGCCGCCGACGGCGTCGGGGGAGTGAGTACGGTCGGGCTTGGCCTGCTGCCTGACGGTCCCGAAGACATCTTCTCCGACGGAGACGGCCATATCAGCGATGATGATGAACTCATGGAGTACTTCGCCGCAAAGACCGTTGGCAGCGGCCTGACAGTCGCTGCGAGCGGTGGCGGCGGCGACGCCGTCGCCGCTGCCGGCGCAAGTCGGCGGGACATAATATCGTCGAGTACGCTCGCCGCCAGTAATGCTACCGCTGCCGCCGCCGCTGGCAGCGGAGCCGCCGCCGGCGCCACCTCTTCTGGCGTCGGAGTCGGCTCCTCAGCGTCGTTGCGACGATTGCCGGTAGACGGGCCCCATGCGGGTGTGCAGGGTGTGCATCACGGACTGTACGGCGGCCGTCAAGGTAGCGGCGGTGCCGGCGGCGGTTCGCTGACGGGGGCCACGCCCATGAATCGGCGTGTGGCGGCAATGGTAATGCGTACGGCAGACCTTACCAGCGCCAGTAGCGGCGGCGGGACCACGGGAGGCGGTGGTGGCGGTGACGCCGCCGGCGCGCAGCATGCACCACCTTCAAGGCACACCATGCGTGCGACTGTGGGCAGCTATTTGACGGTGCCGCCGGCACCGCCGCCGCCGCAGGCGACGGCGGCGGCACCGCCGCAGGAGGCGACAGCGACGATGGCAAAGCCGGCGACGGTGCTGGGCGGAATGCGCCCGCGCACAGCCGGCGTGTCCTGCGCCATTGCGACGGAAGTCGGGCTGTACCGCAGTCCCGGAAACGGCGCCATCAGCAGCAGCGGCGGCGTAACGCTACCGCACCCAGCAATCGGTCACGCTGGTCTGCCGAGTCGCCGTACACATCACATCACGCACGCCATGACGACGACCACCGGCACGGGCCTCACCCCGTCATCAAGCATACCCTACGCCGCCGCCACCAACTATGGTCGTACATCGGTGCCCACTGGCGGTTACGTCGTGGGAGGAACGCCGTACAATGCCGCGTCCGCCACTGCCATGGGCGGCAGCCGCCGCGCAGCGCTCTCCCGTCAAGGGTCGGTCGTATTCAACCAGCTCATGTACGACGCATTGCCGGAGATCGGCACCCCCGGCGGTGCGCCGGATGTGCCGGCGGGCACGCCGCCGCGGCGGCGAGCTGTCATGAGCGGCTTCACACCATGCCGTACGGCGGCGGCGCGCGCCGCCGCCGAGGGCATTCCCCCCGCGGCGGCTATGGCGGCCGTACTCGGCGAAGCGCTTCAATCCACCACAGACCTCTCCGTCGCGTACAGCCCCATTAACATAAACCGCTCCGTCGAGCTGTTATTCTCTGAACGAGAATCAGGGCCACCTTCTGACGCCGCCACCAACACCGACGCCATCGCGGCCAGCGGTGGCGGCGGCTCTGCCGCCGCCGCCGCCGCCGTCGCGCTGCGCCGTCACCACCGCCGCTACGATCAGAGCGCCACCACCGCGGTAGCCGCCAGTGCGTCGTCTATCGGCGGCGGTGGCGCCGACGCCGCCGCAGCAGCTTCCGCCGTACACCCCGGCGTCGCGTCCTCGGCGAGCTGCCACACCTATCAGGTCGCCGCCGCCGCTGGCGCAGCTAGCTGCGACACCTCCGGCCTAGTTCTCGGCTCCAGCGCCCCCACCTCCTACCCCCACCACCATCATCACCACTGCAATAGAATGCAACGCGCACAAGAGAACACGCCAAGCACCATCTCCTCCGTCGTCGGACCCGTCCCGATTCCAGGTAACGGTGGCGGCTCTGCCGCCGCCGCCGCCAGCCGCGCCCAGCACTCGCTGACGTCAGGCGGCGGCAGTGCCGCCAGCAGCAGCCCGGGTACGAGCATTGGGACTGGTTACGCCACGCCGCCGTCGGGCGCGCGCGGCTTCCAGCTTCAGACTTCGCTTACGCCGGCAACGGCACGTAGCCGCCTTGCCAGCGGCAACATGGCGCGGGAAGGCCACGTCAACACGGGACGTTACACGGATCCGGAGCTGCAATCCGCGGATTTGGATCCTCTGGGCTCGACGGGATGGGTTGCATCTGGCTACAGCCCCGCCGGCATGGCGATCCACGCAGCACATCAGCAGTTACAGCCGGCGGCGGCGGCGGTGGCGGCGGCGGCGATTCCGCCACCAGCGATGCGCGGACGGTTGGGCCGTTGGGCTTCCGGGCTGATCGACTCCCTGCCAGAGGATCGCGAAGTACTGCATGCGACGTACGGCAATTGGCATGGGAGTTACGCCGATTGCAGTACGGAACCTGGCGGCGGTGGCGGCGGCGACGATGCCATTCAGATGTTGGGAGCCGACGGCAGCACGGACTGGCCCGCCGCTACCACCGCCGCTGGGATACGCAGCGGCGGCGGCGGCGCCGCCAACGCCGCCCCCGCCGCCACGGGCTCGCAGGTCCCGATGGATACTCCTCTTGGGGTTCGTGCTGGACCCTGGCCGCCGCCGAGCAGCCAGCCCCGAATGCCGCGCAGCGGCAGTGGGGTTGACCCACGGGTCATCGAAGCTGCCGCCGCGGCAGCGGCGACAACGCCGCCGCCGCTGCCCTTCCAGAACGCGCTGGGCGCCCAACCTAGGCCATCCTCCCCTTCGTTGACTCATCATTCGCCAGGCCCATCAGGCTCCCCCCATATGCCGTCGGGCCGCTCCCGCCGTACTCTCCAACTCGCCACCTCTGCCGTCGCCTCCCCCGCTGCTTCATCCGCGGGCGTGATGCCGGCCAGCAACAACAACAGCAACAACAGTCGGCCGCCGGAGCAGCTCACTCCGATTAGTGCGACAGCGGCAACGGCGGCGGCGGCGGCGACGGCGCGTGGCGGGCGGCTCTCCGAGCCGGCCGCGGCAGAGTCGGCGTACGGGATTGATCCGCCCGTCAGTGACAACGCCGGCGGCGGCGGCGGCGGTGCACGCGGCGTCCGGAGCAGTAACCATAGCGGCAGTAGCAGCAGCAGCAGCCGCAGCAAGTGGCCTCGGGCTAAGGCCTTCCTGGGCGGGCGGCTTCTGTCCTCCCTGGTTAAGAAGTTCAAGCCCCAGGAACCCGCGTCAGACAAATGATGATAGTGCTTCATTCGGAGGAATTAGATTCCTTTCCGTTACAAGGAAGGGGGTTTGTTGTGTGTACTAGAAGCCGCCGCCGCCGCCGCCGCCGTCGGTGCCGCGGCCTTGTATGTCCGCCGTCGCGTGTGGTGTGGATTGACCGTTGTCCGTTGACCTTTGACAGTGGATAGTTGACAGTT